TGTTTCTTCTTTTCTTTAATATATATATATATATATATATATATATATATATATATATATATATATATATATATTAAAAAAAAAAAAAAGAAACATAAATATATATAATATATATATATATATATATATATATATATATATATATATATATATATATATATATATATATATATATATATATATATATATATATATATATATATATATATATATATATATATATATATATATATATATATATATATATATATATATATATATATATATATATATATATATATATATACCGTTTGAAAGCTAATGCATTTTCTGCTGCCTTGCCCGTCATAGTCACTGTAACTACTGGACGAAAGGGAATTTCGAAATCGAGGGTAAAAAAAACGAACAAAAAAACAAAAAAAAACTTATCGTTCGACCTACTAACTATACCGTCAGCATGCCTTCGTCTAGCTTGTTATTAAAAACTGCAGGAAAATGTAAAGCGAATCTTACGATGGTTACAGAAACTTATAAAAAAAAATTGGTTTATGGATACTTTGTGCTAATGTGGCCCTCGGACAAGACTTTGAGGCTCTCACAAAAATGAGTGCGATAGCCCCCCTCTAAAACGGTGTGGACGGGCTAGCATAAGGACTTCACCTCCTCCTACTCTGTTTGAAAATCTGCCGCCTGACTGTAGACCTATATTAGTGAAATCCCGAAGATACTCTAGAGTGTCTATGATGTTAGTGTCTACTGATAGTTTTCCACACTAATTCCCTCGTGTACTCAGTGTGATCATGGATGTTCTTCTGCCGTTAAAATGTTTCAGACTAACATTCACAAGAACCCCTCACCGTGGAGCAATTCTTAATAAGCTAGCTTCGTTGACCCTTAAAGTCAACATACCAAAGAGTTAAGGTCATCAGAACAATTAACATAAAAATATTTGTAGAAAAGAAACAGAAAAGCTACAGTAGGAAAGTGACTGAAACCGATATGCCAGATCAGGATCAATAACATTGCAGATTGTTGCTTGAATTTTATCAAAAATCTCTAAATCAGGGGTTTTCAACAGGGGTGAATTTGGGATTTTCAGGGGTGAATTGTGACCAGAGGAAGTTTAGGTGGAGGAGAGCAATTATAGAATTTGGCCTGTCACTTTGCAAAGGAATGGTGAACGGCATTCTGACAAATGATGAATGGGGTGCATGGGCAAGCAAGGTTGGCAACCCCTGCTCTAAATACATAGCAGAAGCACTAGACCAGATGTATTTCGTTTCTCAACAAGATGATCAATATATTTGTAGCCTTTCTGTCGTATAGTAAGGGTTCTCAGCGTCCGAGGCGAATTTTAGACACCCTCACTTGAATTAACCCTTATATGTTTACTATATTGTGCCTTCTTTTCCTCTGAATGACAATAACGATGAATTAATTCCCACTTTGCCGAGGACTAAAATAAAGTCCCGATATCATAATTGTTAAAGTGAAACTAATTGAATTAGGCTGCCATATTAAATATTCTTCCTTAATTTGAAAATCGTTTTGAAATTCATGTCTTCAAGTAATGTTATTTATCAATATAACTGATAGAGGAGACAAATGCATCTTAAGAGTTCTGGGGTTTACTTAAAAACCCATTCGTGTGTTTAATGCGCATGGTTTATGAAACAAACAAATCTATATCTTATAGATTTATTTAGGCTTATGGTAAAAAATATTATTTTCCAAAAATGGTATTCATGGCTATAGATTTATAAATTATAAATTTACGCCCAGAAGTGATTGTTCCCACTTTGCTATGCATCTGTAGACTTGTCGTTTGCTTCAAGTCAATGTTTAGCAAATCACTATCTATCGAAGTTTGATCCTCACTACGCGCCACATAGTATTAGTATTCTTCACTATTTACATTATTCGGACTATTGTCCTCATCTTTGTCGCCATATTTATTACAACGTCTCGGCATATCAAAGACTTTGTCATCTCTTTTTTTTTCTTACTAGAATGTTTTTGTCTAGAAATAGAAAATTTAAATAAATATTTATTTTTATAGAATTGTTAGAATTAATATTAAAATAACAAAATGTAATTTTTTTTTTAATTTCATGCAGAGATTTTTAAAAATTATCTATTTTAGTTAGAGTAAAGGAATAATTTTAGCATATATTTTAGTATATTTTTTTAAAGATTGCAATGATCTTGACCAACATTGATGACCTAGCCGCGCCTATGTTATATAATAGTCTCAATTGAGTACGCTGACTCAAATTATTTTCGGACACCGGTATTAGTTTTAGATATATAACACAACTTATCTATGTCCATGGTAATTATATTGATAGTACATTATTATAGGCTATACTATATATACAAGTTGTATCATAGAAGTTTTAACACTTTTCAGGAGAGGCAGTTGTCTTAGATAATTGTAATTTTGGCATATCCTTACTATACATCTAATAAGATGACCTAACCACTTTTTTTTTTTTATTTCAGATTGAATAAGGCGGCTGTAACAGCTCTTTAAACACACCCTACGAAGCACTGCTTGTCACAGCTGACGAGTTTACAGTATCAAGTGACGACGTGAAGACATTATGGAAGCTCGCTTTGTTTTGTTGTCACAGAGGGGAGTATCTGTTGTGGCCTTGTTTGGGCCAAAAATAAAGAAACAAGAGAGGAATTGAGTTAAACAAATATATTAACAGAAACAGTAATACAAACATATACAAACGAGAGTGTTACAGCAGGAATGTTCGGTCCGACTGTTAGAGCTGACTGCTGGAAACTTCCCTCTTCAAAAGGCAGTACCTGCTCCTATTTATAGATGGGATAGTCTATGCGTGCGTGGGTAAATTGTTATAACATCATCAAAATAGTCCCTTATCTTCCTTACAGCTAAACTTTGCACTCTGTGACTTTTGATTGAACAGATAGAGGAGGCTGTGACAACAGTCCTGGGCACCTACACTTTTATGGAGATTTCATGAATTGGCTGAAGCTCTACAACCAATTCATTTAATTCAGAGAAGATTGAAGGAGATTAGTTTCGTACTTCTTTGAAATTAATAAATGTCATTTCTGAAAATGTCTTAAAACTTCTCGCATGCATCTCGTATGTTCAAAGAATGGGCATAACACCCTTCACATTTTTTAATCTGGCATGTAGTAGCGACAACATGGCACTCTTCTCCTTCCAGAAACATTCCCGGGTAGCCGACTACTTAATTTCAATCTAACCATGTGGCGTGCTCACATGTACACACATTACAGCTAAACAGTTTAAATTCCTAGTTGTAACCGTAAGTTCTACGCTAAGAGTTTCTTTTCTCGCAGTTCTCGCTTGTGGATATCACTTCCGGCTTCTTGCTTTCTAGGTAAATTTGATTTTCAAAAATTGAGATGGAATATCGATCGTACTTAAGTCTATTTTTGTGCGGTTCCCTGCACTTTGGTATTGCAATTAGGAAGTTTAGAAAACCACACTGTTCGATGTGGTCAGACGAATTCAGTTAAAGAAGCTTTGGCCATTGGACAGCCAGGAGAAGTTCAGCGATTTTAAATAAGAAAAAAATTGTCCTCTGTTCAACACAGACGATTTGAAATAAGGAAAACTTGTCTCCAATCTATTTTTATACCGGAACACATCCTCTGAATGAAATAAGAACAGTAAAATGTTTTATATTTATTTATTGTAACCACTAGAAAGAAGATCATTTGCAGACACTTGGTGTGTTCTTACAGTTTATATGTATCACGTTTCGTTAACTGATCACTATGTAGCTATTGTTGATAGAGTTTATTAGGAAGTAACCTAGTCAGAGGAGGCACGGTGGAGTAATTGATAGCGGCTCCGATTGAGGAATCGGAGAGACGAGTTCGAATTCCTGTTAAATCCAAATACATTCATTTACGTGCTAATACCCTTGGGAAAGATATGAATTATAGAGAAACAGTTTAAATTCCGAGTTGTAACCGTAAGTTCTATACTAAGAGTTCCTTTTCCCGCTTGTGGATATCGCCTCCGGCTTCTTGCTTTCCAGGTAAGTTTGATTTTCAAAAATTAAAATAGCAGGACAGACCGGGTTCTGTAGCCTTGGATGGTAACTGGTCTACCACAAAAAGAAATGGCAACCTACTGCGGGAAAAAAATCTGCCTCGTCAGTCATATATAGAATGATACATGATCGCCTAAGCACGTAACTGATGAGGAGCCTAGTCTGCAATAGTGTCCTTGATAGTAAATGTACAGTGTAACCCGGATATAAGAGAAACCCGGATATAAGAGAGATTTTCTCTGGTTCCAAAGTGTTCCCATACTTACCTAAACAAAATAGACCAAACCCGGATATAAGAGAGATTTTCTCTGGTCTCAAATTAGAGCCCATACTTACCTAAACAAAATAGACCAAACCCGGATATAAGAGAAACCTGGATATAAGAGACTTCGTCTCCGGTCCCGACAACTCTCTTATATCCGGGTTACACTGTAAATGTTTAAAGAATGAAATTGTTGATTGATTTGTTTTGTTTTTTACGACTTATCAACACTTTGTGGTTTATTTTAAATCGAAATATATTTTTGATTGGCAGAATATCTTTTTTTTTGGGTTTTGCGTGTGAATATTGCGTTTTTAGAATAATATTATTTTTAGAATAAGAATGATTTTTCTAAGATGTAATTAACTAATTAACCTATGGCCGTAAATGGATTCAACCCTTTCCCAAGGTATGTGAATGTAACGACCCCTACTGGAATTCGAACTCGGCTCTCCGATTTCTTATTTTGAGACAATATCCATTACGCTAACCGTGCAGAGGTGAGATGAGAATCAAATAGTTAAAAAATGGCGACCAACAAAAATATCGAGAAATAAATAGAAAACGAACATAAAACTTTGTCAAGAGCGAGTAAAAAATATAATCAAGCAGATGTCTAAGAAACAAACAGAAATGTCATGAAATTTAAAGGTAGAGGAGAATTAATTAACGCAAATGGCAGAAGAGGAACGGGT